GCTTCAGCTATAAATCCTGAAATGAACTATTTCGCCCGGTGGACCCAATTAAAAAATATATAATTTACAAAATACCTTGCGATGACTGCAAGTTAAGTCATCTACATAGGCCAATCAAACTAGTAGATTGCGGGTGACTAAATTGTCGGAACATAAGAATTTAGCTAAGGTAAGATTGGTTGACGCCGAGAAGATGAGTAATTTAGAAAAAAGCTCAGCAATTGCACTTCACGCATCAACACACAACCACACAATAGCATGGAGGGAGAGGGTTAAGATTCTAGGAAGTAATCTATGTAGGCGGAGAAGTAGAGAGAGAGAGTGATTACTGAATCCTGGTTCATTGAATAATTTACACTCAACACGTGCAACAGAAATGGCTCAATGCCAATACCGGGAATATGGAAGATATTATTACCGCCAGTCAGTCAGTCAAATCAGAGGAGAATAATAATAAATTATCTCAAAATTCTATTTCAATTCAAGCACCCACATCACAACATTCTAACAAGTTACTTATTATGACTATAAAAACACTCGTTTTATTTCCCATCTGATTGTAATTGATCAATAACTCTCGTATTATTATTTCTGGATGCACATTATTTTACCCTTATGGGTAAATTGTTTTGATAAAGTCTCACAGTGTTATACAGTAATGTTTACTAATGACGTTTCGAGCACAATTTATTGCTCATAATCATATCAAGGTAATCACACGACTTCCTAAATTCATTTATATAGTTCCATTGTTTTTCTCTTGATTTTCACTTGATTTGATTGGTAATAGTATTTTCCATATTTCAGGTATGAGTGACGAGTCATTCCTATTGCATGTGTTGTTGGGTGTAGACTCGATGAACAAGGATTCAGTAATCAACCTCTCTCTCCACCTATCTAGATTACTTTTTAGAATTTTAACCCTCTCCCACCCTATTGTGTGGTTGTGTGTTAGCGCAATGGCAGATTATTTTATATTAATTTTTATTCAAATATCTGGTCAGTTCCACTCATGTATATAAATGAAGGAAGAAAGTTGTGTGAGTGGTGCCTTGATATGATTATGAGTGGCAATAATTTGTGCTCGAAACGTGGTCATCAGTTAATATTACTGTGTAACATCACTGTGTGACTTATCGAAATAAAATCTTATCCATAATGGAGTTATACTCTACCACAGTGTCCCAGTTTTTTTTACTTATATCGATAACATCTTTTCAAGCAAACTCACTCCTAAAATATGGTTAAGATTTTGTAGATGATACTTTTGTAGTGCTGAAACGAGTTCTACACAGTTTATTCTTGGAAAAACTAAGCAGTCTATCTTCCAGAATCCAGTTTACTTCGGAAGTAGGCATAATCAGACGTCGGTGAACTACTATTTCTAGGACTGCCTGCCTAGTTAAGAGGAAGGAAAACGGACATTTTAGTATATCTATATTCAGGAATAAAACCCACTCCAGGAAAAATATTTAGGCTCTTTGATGTTAACGGGTGAGAAAGGAAGAGAAGAAGAAATATCAAACATTACTGAAACTCTCAAGCAAAGCAACTACCCAGAGAACTTCATCAACAAAATCAACACTGACATTAATTATGGTAGAAAACGTATTCCAAACATATGGACCTCAACATTTGTCATTCCATATAAGGTGGAGATGTCAGACGATGTCAGAAGAGTACTCAATAAGCACGACACCAGAGTTGTCTTCAAAATATCAGACACACACACTACAAAGCAATCTTGTCCATATAAAAGACCTAATTCCTAAGGATTCTCAATCTAATTTTGTTTACAAATTTAAATGCTTGGAATGTGTCATGCGGTATACATCGGACAAAAATCGCGAGACAGAAATGAAAATCCGAAGAGATAAAACACCGTAGAGCCGCCTCTGTTCGACTACTACCGAAAAATTCAGTTAGTAAACCAGATAAGCTTGAAAATTCATCCCCCATTGGTCTACAGAATAATTTCAGAAATCACAACGAACGTCTGTTATCAAAAGTACTTCATATCAAGTTGAATCCAAATTGTTTGAATAGAAATGATGGACTAAAACAGAATTCTGACCTGGTGGCAGCACTTCCCACCCCCACCATGAAATTACAAAATCAACACGAATGTGATAGGCGATTTCATTATGTAAACACACACTGCTTTTATGATTCTACACAATTATCAAATCCAACAATCTATACACGGTTCTGTTATCGTTACCGACTGGCCAATTGGACGACGAAAAATGACCCCATTCTGATGAAGGCTGATTAAATTTGTTATCAATAAGTTGAGTGGATTTTTTAAATGCTGGTTTAATAACAAACACTTTGATACATCTATTAGCATTAAATAGCGAAACGTCAGTAAAAACAACGACAATATCGTTTAGTTTATCATTCACTGGGAAATACACAAAAAACTTTTATGATAATGAACCGACCAACAACTTATTGCCCAAAAATGTGCAATGGAGTACTGGAGAGGGATTCAACACACGTGTAACATCACATAGTGTGCCTCTGAATGGAACCCGAATGAGAAACGGCATGTCGAGTGTGGATCTGAAGAGAAAATTAAAGTTTTGGGCGGCCATTAAGCCATCTGAAAAAGACTGCAGTGAGGAAGGTGGAACTGAGATGTACTGATCAATCTCCATGTTCCACCCCCGGTAGCTAAGGGAATAATAATAATGATAATAATTCCAAAGGACCTCATTATATGACTGGCAGACTGACTGACTGGGTAATTGAATTTTCAACATGCACCTGTGCACAAAAATGTAGCATTTAAAACCTGTCACACATTATAATTAAGCACACTTGAGAATCAAGGGAAGTAGCAAAGGAACTACAAATATTATTATTCTCATGGGTTTCGTATGGAGCATAGGGCTTCTTCAACACGTCTCCATTTCAGTATTATTATTTGAAATCCGCTCTGGCTGGCTGGCTCTATGGTTCCCATCTCACATGATCTCCTCCATGCCACTGTCGAAGCAACTTCAGACTTGTCCCTCCCTAGCGTGTGACGTCACTCAGTGGTCTCCTCAGAGTATATTCAGTCTATCTGCATTTCCCTTGGTATGTATCATTTTTGTGTGGTAGTTGTTGGTTAGTTTGTTGCCTAACACAGTTCATTGTTGTTTATCCTTCCCAACTGGCCATCTGATCTTTAGTATGAAGCCAGCGAAGGGGGCAGCTGTTGGTCAGAGTCTGTAGGAGTCTGTTGGGAATGCTTTCGGTGACGTATGCTACAGGTCTCCGACATTAGTCTTGAAAATCCAGATCTTGTTCTGTGCGTTGAGTGAAGCAGATTTTCAAACTGATTTGAGACTAATTAGGCTCTGAATTGTCCTTGTGATCACGCCTTCGACATCCTCATCTATGCCGTGTTAAATAACCCATAAAAAACGGAATTGTAGTGAAAAATTATTATTTTCTTTTAATTCTTAGAGGAGCATAGGGCTTCAGACACACGTCTCCATTGCGTTCGGTTCTCTGTCAACATTCTGCCCTATTTCCACGTCTGCCCACATACTTTCATCTCCTCTTCACGTGACCTCCTCCAAGTCACCTTTGCACTGACGACCAACTCGCCACTCTATTGAGCGAAGATAGCTGTTGATGAAGGTCTGTAGTTTGTTTGAGGTGCTCTTCATGATGCGCCAAGTCTCTGATCCATATAGTAGCACTGACTCCACATAGGAGTTGAAAATCCGGATCTTATTTTTGATGCTGAGTGCTGTGTGCTGTTGACCTCCACACAGACTTGAGAGTAATGAAGGCTTGTCTTGCTTTCCCGACCGTTGCTCTGATATCCTCGTCAGTTCCGTCAGCCTGTAGTTGAAACTATTTCCCAGGTAGGTAGGTAAAGGAAATTGTTTCTTTCAGGTTCCTCTCATTTATGCTGATTGTTGTCTGGTGTTATTGCTGTGGCTGTGGTTTTTGACCAGGAATCTTCATCACCTCTGTTTTCTCTTTGTTTACTTGAAGTTTTATCTTTGATACTTCTTCTGCCAGCTTGTTGCTTTCCACTTGCATATCTTCTAGTTTGTGGGAATCAGACATATATCATCGAGGAAGTCCAGATCCTCCAAGTATTTTGTGTGAGTCCATTTTATGCCTGTTCCCTCGTTGGTTGTTGTTGTCTGTCGCATTATCCAATCTACTGCAATCGGGAAGATCATTGGTGATAGTAGACAGCCTTGTCTCACTCCTGTCCGCACTTTGAAGGCTTCCGTAAGTTTCCCGTTGTGGATTACTTGGCATGCAGCATTGTCGTATAACTGTTGGATGAGATGTATAATTGTCTATGGGACCCCGTAGTAGCGAAGTAGTTGCATAATCACCTCTCGATCGACACTGTCGAAGGCCTTTTCAAAGTCGATGAAGTTGAGTGTGATAGAGAGCTGACTGCCATTCTATACTTTGATCAATGATGATCGTTGTGTGGTGATTTGATCAATACATGAATTTTTTCTCATGAGAATAGTGAGAAACGAAGATATTTCATGGACTAACACCAGCACCAGCAAATGTATCTACCTTATTAAGGATAATTTTGAGCTATTTCCTCAAAAATGTCAAGCCATCGACTTTTACCAGCTCCAGAGTTCCACGCTATGTTGTAATTCGGCAGAAGTTGGAATTCATGGGTTGGACATTGAATTGGGTCCTAGTGGCTTAATGGTCTGCAAGCTCGCTAACCTCGTGACTGGAAGTCTCTGGTTTCGAATCTTGGTGGATGCGTGCCAATGAAGAGTCCCAAACTAGGACGAAACAACCGGATATTCAATACTCCCAGCTGGTTTTCCAATGATTCTCTAGCTGATGTCAGCTCATGATGATCAGACCATGATTATGTCGGCCAACATGAGACCCATCCTGATCATCTTATGCAAGTACTTACTGCAAGACGAATGCCAGGCAAAGGAGTTGATTGTGAATAAACATATATATAAATTACCAATGATTACTCAAAATGTTTGATGACTTACCATAATATCGTAAGTATGATAAAACATGATGAGTAATAGAAGAATGACAGTTGAAAGGCTGATCAGTGTACGCATAACCATTGAGTAGATACTATTCTACAAAATAAGTAAATATATACATTTAAAAAAAAGATTAATGTAGATAGAAGGAAGGTATATACTACTGACGGATATAAATAAGTAGTTGAAAACCATATAACTCAAATAGTAGGCTTTGTCAGTAAGATGGAAGTGATGCAGACATCAGATATATCAGTTGGGACCAAGTTCATTTATCAACATAACTCAGAGTGAATTAGCTCAGAAAAGCAGATGAATTGAAAGCATCCGAATTCTGGTAGGATACTTTTGAAAAATCAGATTTGTCATCCGCCAATTTCATATACCACAGTGGAAATTAACTGCAGTTAACGATTTCATCATGACCTGATATTGGTTAGAAAACCATTGGAAAACAACCAGGGACTACTGGACAGCTGTTTCGTCCTAGTTTGAGACTCTTCGGAAGTACGTACACACCCCGACGAGGTTCGAACCCAGGACCTTCCGGTTACAAGGCGAGATCGTATACCATTAAGCCACTGGGACCTGATCCAATGGTCCTTGAATTCTAACTTCTGCCAGTTCACGACATAGCGCGACCACTTCGAAATGTCTTCTTCGATGAGTTACTGCCTCATCTTCGACCTCCTGTACCCTACTGGTCACGGCTTCCCACTAGAACCCCAGGTTAACTGCCTGAATGGGGCCAGTCACTAGTGAGCATCAGATGAATTTTCAAGTATTGGTTTTTGTAGGGATTTTGTTTGATTGCATGGAGGATTTAATCATGAGCTGACATCAGTTAGAGAACCACTGGAAAACCTGGGAGTACTGGACAGCCGTTTCGTCCTAGTTTGGGACTCCTCAGCAGTACGCACCCACCGGGATTCGAACCCAGGACCTTCTGGTTACAAGGCGAGCTCGTAGACCATTGAGCCACTGGGACCCGATCCAATTGTCCTTGAATTCTAACTTCTGCCAATTCACAACATAGCGCGACCGCTAGCCAATGTCTTCGGCGGGTATTTGTCCTCACACTCGACCAGCTGCACCCTACTGGTCACGACTTCCCACTGGAACCCAGGTAACTACCTACCTGAATAGGGCCAGTCGCCAGTGAGCATCCCATTGGTATTCAAGTGTTGGTTTGTAGGGATGTAAGCTCATGATGAAATCCTGAAACCAATCAAATCCCTACAAACCAGCACTTGAATAACTGCAGTTAATTCTGCAAATCATAGAAAAGGTGTCTTGTTTAGGGAAACAAAACCTCCTTTGTACCAAAAATGAAACCTTGATTTAGATATGATAGAGAAGATTTGTAGCTCAGGTAGATGATTTTGAGGTAGTTGTGTTCTCTGAGCTGGAGGGTTAATTTGCGAAGCTTTCATCATCCTACTGGGTGACATCTTCGGCGTATACTTTAATTCGACAACAAATATAGGGATTATTTGACTCGTATCCTGTCTAGAAAGCTTCACGAACACCATTCGATACAACTTAAAAAAGGTAACAGTGGCTTGATAGGAAGTGTGGGCACCTTGTTGACACTGGTCATTCCATCTCAACAAACACCTCCTTCAAAGTAATCTACACGGTGAAGAATATGCTCATGTCTCCTCTAACCATCTGAGAGGGAAAAACTGGAGCTCTGCATATATACAAGAAAATTATTCAGCTACTTTTAGTTCACTTGCAACAATTTTGTTGATTTCTATTAATCTGAATTTTGCCCAAAATTCTTTATAACTCTTATATTTCTTGTAAACTCTTGAAGAGTTTCTGTCATCCTTGTGAGCATTGTGATTATAACTCATTAATTAAATCTCCTACTGATTAATATAGCAAAGTTAAACTTCAAGCACCACTAACTACCACCAATCAGCGAATGACTTTGGACGCACCAATCACGTGAAGCAGGCACTTTTGTTCATGGAATACTTATATTTATGAAATAATGCAGAAAACTGAACAAATGTGTTACAGAGGATGCCTCCCCCTCACATGTGATAAAAAATAGCTCTTAATTTTAGGTTGCAGTATCAACAGAGTGTAATTCCATTGTGGGTAAAATTTATTTCGATAAAAATTCATAGTGTAATACAGTAATATTTAGTGAGCAATAAATTGTTGTCGAAACGTTGTCATCAGTAAATATTACTGTATAACACGCTGTGAGACTTTATCAAAATAAATTTTACCCACAATGGAAGTATACTCTACTACCACCACAGTGCACAAGTTCTATTCTTATATCAACAGAGAGTAATTTAAGCACATTCTATGCATGTAATTATTTAGGTCTTCTAAAACCAGCAATAACCCCAGTCTTTCCTAAACCTAAACCTAACGTGAACATATCGCTAAACTAACTGTAATCTAACTCCAAACCAAACCTAATGTTGCCTTTATTAAGGTTAACCTAACCCTAACTTGTCCTTGGATCAAAGTGTAACTTGATTTTTTTCTAAAACCCAGGCTAAAACTTGATGGATATCCGATTTAACCGCATATTTTATTGACGATGATAACATGATTTGCTAGATTTCACTTACTTGCTCAGTAAGCGTTTCAAGGTCATTGGTGCAATCGCACTGCATTTGCTAGTTGAAGGTGCTTAAAGTTTAACTTGGCTGCATTAATATTTGCAGCCATAATTATCACAGTTCACCTCTTTGTCTACTGGCCACTTTTGTGAATAAATATGATCGTGTGGACAAAGAAAGTGAGTTCACTGAGAAGTATCTCTTCGTTTAACCGCTTGTTTTGCTGTCTTCATAAGTGTTCTGGATAATAATTGTAGTATTTATTTATGAATTAGTATTGGCAGTCAGTTTATTACTATTTCTTAGCTTTAATATACCTCTTGAGTGAGGGATTTATTATTATTCGCGTTGGTTCTGAGTGATAAACAGGGCTTTAGCAGTTCATTTTCACTTTGTCTCGTCTGCAGTTCTCTTCAACTGGTTTCACGGTTGACTGTAAGCTTTGATTTCCTTCTCTTGGGATCTCCACACGATTGACCCTTGGGACATAGCTAATTTGTCTTTTCCTACTCACGTTCTACTGGATGGATGGGCTTCACTTCCTTTACTATATTTGTTGATCAATATGTTCTTGATTGGTTCATAGTCAGAGACCCTCGCTGCTTATTCTCTCCAGGCAATGGATCTTCAATATGGAGCGAAGGCATGCCTTGATAAAAGTCCACATTAGCCAGTTGGCAATGCTTTTCGTGATATGGGTGCCAAGTTTATGACCCATATAGAACAGCTGACTAACCGACTGACTTGGCATTGGCGCTTGGAATTCGAATTTTTATTCCTTGTGGAACAACAGAAGACAATGGTCAGGCAACAGATCCTTTATTAACGAAATCAACAGATATTTATAGATTTTCATGTACATTATTATAGATCCTTGTTAGCAGAAAAACACAGACTTCTCATTGGTTGTTTCTCACTGAAAGTTAATCTTTCATCTTTTTCTGGGTGTTTTTTGAATATCAGATAATCTATATGTTAGCAGTATCCGCGCGCGCAAAGTCTGCTGTGGTTGGTTGTTGAATCAGTCTTTGCTCTTATTTTGCTTACGACCAATATTGGGGACGTGAACGTAGACGTAAATTACCGTCTACCAATTTGGCTAGCAGCTAGCTCTCACCACACTTGTACCGCAGAGCATAGGAGATTTCCAAATTGATTTCTGAGTGATAAAGGTATGTTTTGCCTTTCCAATTCTTATTTTGACATCCTTAACTATGTTGTGTGCCTGTATTTGAAAGAATGCTTCCTAGCCATATGAGAGAGGGGGGTGACCTCTTTCAAATCTCTTCAGTTGACAGTGATCTGTGGTTGTTGTTGTTGTTGTTGGTTGGTCGGTTATCTATCTGACCGCGATCTTATCTGTATTCACCCAAAGTCCTGTCTTTCCTAATTCTTATGTCATCTTGTTGGTTCTCATCAATAGTTTTTCGAGTTTATTTGATATTACAACATAAATTGTCCGAGAGTTGTCCAGATTTTCTAGGGTGTTCCTATAGGTCTGACGCAGGCCACTGAGATGGATCTTAACAGAAAAAGTGGTTTATGGATACCGGTCGTTTGTGGTATATCGCGTGTAGACCACTTCACTTGTTTGGGAAATTGTATCACTATCGCTACTATCATTATTTATTTTCTAACAACAGAAGGCAAGGCCATGAAACAGATCGTTTATTAAGGAAATCAACATATATTTGTAGATTTTCATATTCATTATTATAGCTTATTCAAGCAAACAAACACAGTCTTCTGATTGGTTGTTTCTCACTGAAAGTTAACCTTGTACCTCTTTGTGACTGTTTCTTGAATGCCAGGTCATCTATATGTTAACTGTATCTGCCTACGCCAAGTCTTCTCTTTTTGGTTGTTGAATCAGTCTTGTTCATATTTTCTCACGACCAATATTTGCGACACAAACATTGACCTAAATAATTGTCTATCAATTTGGCTATCAGCCTGCTCTCACCACAGTATCAGCCCAAGCAGGTTGATCACTGATATAATCTTTTATGGCTGTCAGACACAGTGGCTCTTGAAAGTGGAAGGCATAAAAAGGCTAACCAGCTGTCTTTGATCATAGATGTCTGCGTTCTATCTCCCGTGTTACATAGTAAAATATAGTGAGTAATACTGAATTGGTTAAGCATTGGTCGAGTGATGGGTAAAGAGGGAAATTGACCGACGAGGTTGCGAAGTTAGATTTATCGAGGTAGTTAGGAAATGTGTTATGCATACATCCCTAGTCATCGCCTTCCTCAACCCATAATCTTAGGGGATATTGGATCAGTGAGGTTGGAAAAGAGTTAGTGGTAGTGAAAACCAAAACATGGATTCATCAGGCAATGAAATCCATAACAGATAGTTTGAGCCAGCCAGGTACGTAGGGAGGTGTAGACGTCCTCACTGGCTGGCTTGCGGTCCTCGGGATGACAAAAACCAGGGATATGGCTCAAAATCATTCTCACTGGTGCAGCTGCATTCACTCTTTGTGGTTTGTCATATCCAATGAAACTCTATTGTTCTTGCATAATACTATTTTCTTACCCTCCCACTTCTGTTGATTATCTCTTTTACAAATCTCTCTTTGCTTTCTTCTCTTGCCTTGAGTGGAGAGTAGCACATTGAACTGCTGCACATCTGTACAAAAAAGGGCGACTTAGGACTCTGCAAGAACTGGCGACGAATCATGCCCCTCTCGACCCCAAGTGGAATCCTGAGTCGCATCATCCTGGAGAGAATAAAAGATGCACCGCATGCAGAACTCCGACCAGAACAAGCTGGATTCAAGAAAGCCAAATCATGTTCTGACCAAATTGCAACCCTACGCATCATCATCACAAAACAAAGCATGGAATGGCAATCAAACCTCTACCTCAACTTTATAGACTTTGAGAAGGCCTTCGACAGCGTTGACCGCAAAGTAATTTGGAAACTACTCGGGTACTATGGCGTACCCCAAACATTCATCAACCTTATTCAACAGCTGTACGACAACCGCACACATCAAGTGATCCACAACGGAAAACTCAATGAGGCGTTTGGAGTAAACACAGGAGTCAGACAAGGGTGCCTATTATCACCAATGATATTCCTAATTATGTTGGACTGACTGGATTATGCGTCAGACAGTGGGAAACAAGAAGACAGGAATGTCCTGGACCGACGCGAAGAACCTAGAAGACCTGGATTTCGCGCGTGGATGGTTTATGTTTGATGTCACTGTCACAAAATCGAAGACTTACAAGCGAAAACCGACAAACTGGTCGAAGAAGCAGTCGGAGAAGACAGGACTCCAGGTGAACATAGACAAGACAGAGGTTATGAAAATATTCAACCTACAACAACAACAGCAGCAACATCCAGCGCCAGTCACTATCAACGGGACGGATTTAAAGGAGGTTACTTAATTCACTCACTTAACGAGGGACCATTGTCTCAACTGCAGGCAGTCGGAACGAACGAGGATGTCAAATCGAGCGAGAATCGGGAAGACGAGAAACACATTCATCAACCTGAAATCAACCTGGAAAGCTTCGTCACTCAGCCAGCATCAACAAAATTCAGTCGGATTTTCAATACAAACAACGTCAAGTCAGTCAGTTCTTCCATACGGATCAGAAACTTGGCGAACGGGTCACAAAGAATATTTCCAACAGCCTATTGCAGACCTTTATCAACCAACAACTGTTTTCGCTGGCTCTATACTGAAGATCAGATGGCCGGGCTGGAAAGAATCACCAACAACAGGAAACTATGGAGAGGAACAAGAACCGATCACCCAACAAATATGCAGGAGAAATTGGAGATGGATCGGACACTCGCTGAGGAGGCCGCTGGGTGACATCGCGCGCACATCATACCATCGTTTGAGTGGAACCCAGACCGAAAGGGAAGCTGCGAGTGAGTCGTCAGTGCGAGGGTGACATGGAGGAGACTGTGTGAAAAGGAGTTGAAACAGTCTAGACTAACATAGATGCAGGTGAAAAGTACAGCAGAAGCAAGATAGAAGCAAGTGGAGACGTGTAGTTAAAGCCCGATGTTCCACTAGGAACTCAAGGGAACAATAATAAAATAATAATACATCTGTACAAAGTTCTGTGTTAAAACCAGTCAGTCAGTCATCGCTGTTACCATCCTATTTCATCTATAAGTTTTTGCCTTTTCAGTCGACCTAGAAGATTCTAGAATTCACAATTTCCCAATAAAACTTCAGAAAATCTCACTCATCTAGATACCTGAATACATAAAAGAAAAACGACTCTTCTACGACAATTTGATTTCCACTCTCTGTGTAAATGATTTCCGTTCATGCAAAAATCTGCCTCACAGTCAATTAACTTCACATATATGCCCATAATTATGCAATAAATTAACCGGAAACATTAAAAAAAACAAAAATCACCTTAAACTTACCTTATTATACAATGAACGGGAAATAAATTCAATATCCAAGAATGCTGCTAAAATACCGAATATACTAAAAGCCAATGCAAAATCAGCCATTCGCCTACGACTTTCAAGAAGTCGTCGCCTTCTACCAAGATGATAGCCGATACCTTTGGATAGCCTTTCTGTTAATCGACGTTCTCTTTTGTACTTATTTGTAAATACAATACTTTTATCATTGAAATTATTTCTGTTTTCATAAGTTTTCAACTTTTCTTTGTTCAAATCTGTTGTCTCATCAACTGATGACGTATGATGATGTATTTGATCAGAGATTCGAGTCTTTTTCACTGGACTACCTGAGTAACTGTCAGTCTCCACAGAGGTGCTTCTCAATTTCATTCTGTGTTCATCTTTTATGCCTTCTTTTGAAAGAAGACTTGGACATCCAGAACGAGCGCTGAAATTCAAAAAACAAAAGTAATTTTTATTTGATCTTTGTTCTAACCATACAGCTTTAATGCATAATAAAAGCAAAGTATAACTAAGAAGCTTAGGTAACAGTCCGCCAACATTATTAAGTACCTTTGGCTACAGGATTTCATCATGAGCTGACATCGGTTGAAGAACCACTAAAAAGCCACCTGGGAGTACTGGAAAGCTGTCTTGTCAGCCTAGTTTGAGACTCTCCAGCAATACACACCCACACCACCTGAAGTTCGAAATCAAGACCTTCTGGTTACAAGGCGAGCTCGCACACCATTTAGCCACCGGGATCTGATCCAATGGCTAATCCAGAAAAATTCCAACTTCTGCCAAATCACAGCATAGTGCAGCCTCTAGGCAATGTCATGGTTACGACGTCCCACTGGAAACTTAAGGTGCAGCAGGCAGGGTGTGAGGATAAATACCAGCCAGAGATGACATCTGCTAGCGTCCGCGCTATGTCGTGATTTGGCAGAAGATGGAATTCATGGATTAGCCATTGGATCGGGTCCCGGTGGCTTAACGGTGTGAGAGCTTGCCTTGTAACCAGAAGGTTCCGGGTTCGAACCTCAGTAGAGTGGGTGTGTAGTGTCGCTGAGTCCAAAAATAGGGCAAAACGGCTGTTCAGTACTCCCAGGTGGTTTTCTAGTGGTTCTCTAACCGATGTCACCTCAGGATGAAATCCTTTAACCAGTTAATCAAATTCTTACAAACCAATACCTGAAAATTAAGTGCTTCTGTTTTTTTGTATTCTTGGCGTTTCGAGAGTAATATATAGCTTCAATATTTGAAATTTCAGTCGAGATGAAGCTGCTAGCCTTCATTTTTGGGGGATTTACCACCAGCTAGGCGGAGTTTAGGAGTGCCTCGTCCTAGGATCGAGCTCGTATGTTTCGCTTTACTGACAGGTGATATACACATGAATCAATGACTCATATAGTCATGTACTTAAGGAATACTTGATTCAGATATCAAATATGCAGATGTGCAAAACTCAAATGGGATCAGCTCAGCACTGAATAAGAAGAGAATAAACTGACTTTCTAGTTTCATCGAGCAAATATTTTTGGCGTAAGATAGCAATTTCGGGTGAAGAATGCCTGTGACCTGTTAGAAAACTTTGTTATTACCGAGATACTAACTATTTTGGTCACTAAGGGCGAGAATAAATGGGTTCACCAATAGACAAACTAAGCAAGAACTAACCTACTCATTATGTAAGGGGAGATTCAGTTGGATACTTGTCAGCTGTTTTACCGCAGTATTTATTTTACGGTATAACTTCTTAGAATTACTTAAACTTATTTTTTTGATTGGTAGTAATACTAGTACCGTGATTTCAGAATGGAACAGAAGGAACCACTGAAATACCGTCATTTCATTTTGTACTATACAAAACCATTTTCAAGTGAATTCAGAACTGATCACAAGCTTTAATAACTTCTTAATATGGTGGGTCTCCTCAGGGCAATTCTCGGATGTACACACCCAACCAACCGCTTCTCATTCGTAAGAAAATTGACTAGTTTTCTTTTTTCATTGGACACTAGTAACTAGTGTGACGTATCTGGTCCTTTATTTGGTGCAGACTGAATTCTATCAGTCAGTCAGCTTTACAATGTGGCCACCATTCTAGGTAGCTCGCCATCACGGTGCACATTTAATTGATGATATTAGATGGTTGGAATACCTCGAGCCTGAATAGCTCAGAGGTAACATCTCTGACTGTAGCACTGGGTGATGAAAGTTCGAATCTCAGAAGCAGGGACATGAGTTCCTTCAAGGTTGCAGATACGCCTTGGTGACTGGTGAGTTCCAACTAGCACCAAAACCTAGATCCAAGGCTACCCGTGGCCGATTGCCTCAAACTATCCAATATAGTTTTCCTTCTATCAGAATTCGTCCTCTCTTGCTACTTGAACTCTATGGAGCAAAAGGTGGCTATTGATGAAAGTGTTTATTAGCCGTATAGAATATATTGACTAGATATTAATGTTAGCAATTCGAGTCGAGTACCATTATAAAGAGTAATATTGGCCTTCACATTGATTTCAGATTCGTGAACAGTTGTCCTACTCCCCTCACTTCTACCTGTCTCCAATATCCTTGTTTGTGTTGAATGTTTGTGTAAGGATCTTGCCCACCTTGGGTAAGTGAAATAGCCGAATTGACTTATATATTTTTCCCCCAGTAAAGGTGAATGATGTTTGCCGTCGTTCTCTGCGTGTCTTCATCATCTTTGTCATCTCTACGCGCATCCACAATGCTGCCTTCGGTGTCTTTCTCCCTAAATTGCTGGTTCCTGCTTGTATATCTTCCAGTTTGTGTGGCGTAATGTCCATATCAGTATTATTATGGTTTATTAGATGTGCGTTGGTGGCACAATGGTTAGAACTCTCGCCGACCATGCACATGGTCCGAGGTTCGATCCTCTGCCGACGCACACCTGATATCTATGGTCGGCCTGCAAACTTTGGGCTACCGATATTCAAGCTGAAAATTCCATACTTGTTCCAAAAATACAGTATGGAAAACATAAGAATAAAAAAATATATCATACTCAGTGAAGCAGTATTACTGTTTACTGGATAACAAGGTTGCAAACACAATTTATTGCTGTTCATAATCATATCAATTGTAATCACACCACTTCGAAACTTTTGTTTCCAATTTTCCCGATATCCGTCTGGACAGGGGCTGAATCATTCCTATTACATGTATTCTCAGCCAGTCGATTCGATAAACAAAGCTTCTGTTATCAATCTCTCCCTCCATTCAACCTGTGACATTAGATTTTAAAACTGTCATCTTATCCCATCCTTCATCGTATTGTATGGTTATGTGTAGTTGCATGCAGTGGTTGGTATAGCTGCACTACCCTCCAGAATTCGTATCTTTTCAGGGTCAACTAATTTAGATTTTGCTAGGTTTTTATGCTCGGCCAGGCTGACTGACTGTCCCTGTTCTACTAGTTGGACCGGTGTATTTGACCTGACAACCATCAAGGTAGGGTATTAGATAAACTAAATTGTTTTGTTCAACTGGCCCGTCAAACATGCCCAGGATATTGACAACATCAACAATAGAGAATTTTAGTCATCTATAGTTTTTTTTCTTTCATTCACTTACGTTCCCAGCGGAATATACGGCTTCAAGCTAGAGGCTTGAAGGCTTCTGTAGCAGTGGTGATTATTTTTCTACAGGATGGGGTTGCTAGCCTCATGCCTAACCTTCTTTTTTTTTACCACTCTTATTACTGGCTTACAGAGGAAAAGAAGTGCGTCTGCTGAGGATCGAACCTCGAGCCACTTGCATGGTCAACCAGCACTCTACTACTATGCCACCGATTCAGTCATCATTAGTACTTACACACAAAGGAGAAACCGCGGAAACCTTAAGGAGAATCCTTAAAAGTTCAGGAAGGAAAACGTGACATTCAGACCGCTTACAAGCTCAACTAGGAAACAAGCTTTCTTGGTTAAAGCATCAGTCTTGTGCAGTTAATTAAGCAATACCCTGTGGGAATGATTGGCAGGTCAAATGTATGGGCGAAAGTAGTAGAACAGGTGCAGTTAGACTAGCCGAGCATAAAAACCTAGCAAAATCTAAATTAGTTGACCCTGATAAGATATGAAATCTGGGGAATAGAACCACTACATGCAACTACACATCACCATACGGTGAAGGAGGGGGATAAGGTGACAGTTCCAAAATCTAATGCAACAGGATGGATGGAGGGAGTGGTTGATAACGGGAGCTTTATGAATCGAATCTACTGACTGAGAGTAATAGAAATGATTCAGCACCTGTCTACCAGGACATCTAGAAAATTATACTACCCCTACGAGGACGAATAGGAAGGAATAGAGAGAACAATAAAACTTAAGTTTCAAAGTTGTGTGACTATAATTGGTGGTATGATGATGAACAGCAATAAATTGTGTTTGAAACCTTGTTTTACAGTAAATAATAAAACTGTTTCACTGACTGTATGATATATCTAATCAACAAACTAATATGGAATAACAAACTATCATAGTGCCCAAGGTTTACACATATTTTAAAATAAAATGCATATGTTCTTTGGTCCTTTCTGTCAGTCTTGAATATGTCAGTCATCTGGGTGGCAAAAGTCTATTTCATGTGATTCAGTCTACAACAGCAGAGAAAATGCTCGATGATAATAGGCAGATATATAGTCTCAAAACTCTGCAGACAACTGAAATCCTTATTGAATTACTGTTATTGACTTGCTAAACTTGAAGACTTACAGAAGAAAAAACCAACAAAGTGGCTGAGGAAGAAGCGAAGAACAGACTCCAGGTGAACGTAGTGAAGACGGAGATGATGAAGATAACCAACCGACTAACTAACCGCAACAACCAGCACCAATCGCCGCCAACAGGAGAGATTTGACAGAGGTTACTTCTTTTCTACTCATCTAGGAAGCATCGTCTCAACTACATGCGGAATGGATAAAGATGTCACATCAGGCCGAAATCTGTGTGGCAAGGTGGAAAACACCTTCGTCACTCTGAGATCATTGAGGAAATCTTCTGCACAAAGTTGGCATTATTAACCAGATTAAGATTCTGTTCAACACAAAAACGAGAAGCCAGTCAATTATTCTTCTGAATGGGTCAGAAACTTGAACTGTGTGCCTGCCCATCGTGAAAGTAATTTCCAACAAGTTGAAGACTTTTATCAACACCTGGCCACTTCTCTGGCTTTATACCAGAAGATCGGATAGCCGGTGAAGGAGAAGTAGCAGCAATAAAGCCTGGGAAAACCCAACAAGGAAGAACCTATTGCTTAGCAAAACTATGGTGAGGGAATTGGAGATGGAGTGGGTGGTATACTTTGAGGTGACCATCGAATGACGTCGTTCGAATGAAATGGCAAGGAAAAATGACGAGTGGGGTTGTCGCATTGGGGGTGACATCGAGGAGATGGTGTGGTGGGGAGGAGATGAGA